CCCATCCTCATCCACCACCTCCCTCATTCTCATTCTCTCTCGTGCACTTTCTTCATCCTCGCACCTTCTATTACATGCTAACACACACTGAGCGCTGTTGCGTAATGCATGTTCTCCACATGCATGAGCATACACACAGCGGCAAACACAAACCTGACCTGAGACACAGAGAAAGATGGAGAGAGGGAGAAGGAGAGTGGAACAAAGGAACAGAAAGGCAGGGAGGTTGGGAGGAAGAGTCCAGGAGGGAAAGGGGAGAAAACAAGGGAAAGGGAAAACACACAACTAGGACAGTCTTATGTAATTCCTCTCATCCTTATGCATGCATGCACATAAAAACACACACACACACACACTCATACACACTTCACGCTCCATCAGACACACAGACTCACACATGCTCATATCTTATCTCTCTCTTCTCTCCATATCTCACACACACACACACCCACACACTATCCCTGTCCATCTGATTGCTGCAGGCCGTAGTCTGGAGGAGAGCAGAGTAGCAGTGAGTTTTGCATTATTGAGCAGAAGCTGACAAACGTACAACTACCACTACAGTAGCTACGGCAGATCTGACCAGAGCATTAAACAGTGCCTGAACCCCATGCTGGATGCACACTGGAGACTCTCTCATACTGTATGTCTGTCTGGATCAAGCTCCATACATGCACTGCTTCAGTAAAACTACTAATACCACCATGTGAACATTACAAATACAACAAGCATTGTATATGTAGGCTGGGAGTATCCACAGTATATTACTGGATATACTTATGCATTAACATGTTTACAGCAATATAACGTTATAGGCTACCTTGTCGAGGTGTGGCTCATTTTAATTACTTTAATTTAATTAGGTTATTATAATATTACTGTAGAATATATGTAGAATATAAGATTTATTCCGTTGCTTTTCACCATCCAGGAATGCCGGCATATGTCTAAATAGGCTCCATTCATAGGGCAGTAAGTGTTCATTCATTCAATTTTGAGCGTTGTATTTTATTGGTTCTCTTGTTTGAATTTCCACTGCGTCTCATCTACATCTCATTTTTCAATGAGCATTACACTGTCTGGTTTAAATGTGTGTTGTTCAGCTTTGTTAAAAAAGTAATAAAAAAAGTAATCAAATGCAATAATTCATGTTTTTACTACGTTATTACTACATTACATTATATTACATTTATAACAGGGTAACTAGTAACCTGTAACCTGTTACATTTGTAACAATGCCCCTTCAAATACTTGAGTAAATGTTCTCTATAATGTTTCATCATTGCTCTGTAAAGTAGTGTTCTGATAATTATTAGTCAGTCGAAGATTAGATCAGTTAGAAATTAGTTATCTAGTTAGTTTTATTTTTTAGTAAGTAAGTCAACAATTAGTTAGCATTTAGATGATTAGAGATGATTAGCAGATTAGTTAGGTAAGTTATATATCTAGTTAGTTAGTTAAAGAAAGCCATTTGTCATAACATATATTGGCTAGATCTACATACTTTCATGAAATATATGTTTATACGTAAAATTTCAAATTGTCCACTGACTAGGAGAGGAAAGAGAAAGAGAAACTGATCATGCTAATTTGTATTCTTTCTACTCATCTCCTAGGCTTTCTCCAAGTAATGGTTAATTTAAATGTAAATAGCCAACCTGGTCTTACTTTTTTTTTTATCTTTAAGATTATATATTTCATGGTTCCCAGTAAAAAACAATGACGATAGAAACCAAAATGGAACTTTTTAGATAATTAAGATGTGTATCATCATCTTGATCCTATGTGTTTGTGTGCTGTGTATGGTTTAGTGGCAGTGTCACTTTGCCTCCACTTTATTAATTTCTAAAACACATAGTAAACAAGGAACAGCAAGGAAGCAGCATCTAAAAACAAACACCCCCTCCTCTCCCTCTCCCTCTCCCTTCACGCTGTCTCCCTATTTCACACATAAACCTCCCACACATAACAGACTTAGTCATGTGTAGCCTTTAGTCTGGCACCCAGGGTTTTGTGTGTGTGTTTGTGTATGTGTGTGCACACATATGCAGAGCCATTTAAATATTTGAATTTGCCTGATGTCACTGTCCTGTGTCATTAACAGGGCTGTAACAACAAAGGTAAACGACAGCCATGCTTCCACAACCAAAAACCTAAGAGGGGAGTCATTTCGACAGGGTGGGAACGTCGCACCACAGGGAGACCAACATCGAAAATACATTTGTATGATTGGTTTTGTTTATAGAAATATGTCATGCAATCGCATATATTCCATAGAGTGACGGATTTATTTCCTGGCATAAAATGCTCCGATATTTTTCTGTGAACTTCCCCCGCCAACATTTTATTTGGTTCCCTCCACCTGACCTTGAATGGTAGCAGGAAGTGTCCCAATCCAACTGTCAGCCCGGATCAGACACTAGCTGCTCACTCGGTTTCACACGTGGACACAGACAGTTCTCTGTCAAACATGCATGCACGCACACACACGCAAACACAGACACACACACAGACATACACACACAGAAGCTAAACTGGAGCTTTCAAAAGGCCTCAGGCTCGCTTGCACTTTAACATGCACAATTTTGTGCCACAAATTCCCAGAAAAAACACAGTCCTCTGACATGCACACACACACATCCACACAGAAAACATTTACATAGACAACTGTACACATACTATATTCTTCGGCTGTGTCTCTTTTCAGTGTTTTTATGAAATGCAGTGTTGTTTCAGAATCATAACAGCTGCATTACCATAGCAGAGTTGCAAAATTATGTTTCTACCAATGGAGATAAGATTTCTGTTAAAGGAATGGTTCGACATTTTGTTTTTCTTTCTTACTGAGAGTTATGCTGCATTCACATGGATTCAGGCAGATGGTAGGTGGCAGACGGACAGCCCCTTCTGGACACCACGGTAATAAAACAAACACCATTGCCGGTATTCTCTGCTGGCCTCTCCACTAACCACTAACATGAAAATGTTTTGCCGTCTACCGTCTGCCTGAATCCATGGGAATGCAGCATTAGATGAGAAGATTGATTGAGCCTAGCTTAGCACAAAGACTGGACACAGGGAAAAACAGCTTGCATTGTTCTGTCCAAAGGTAACAAGATCCTGACCACCGACAAGTCAACATCTGGGCTATTCACACATAATTTACTTATGTTATGTATCATTTGTTTAATCTCTACAAATAACGCAGAGTAAAAATCGGACCAAAGTGTGCCGGACTATTTCATGGCCAGAAGCAGTAACTTTCCTGATTGGACACTTGTTGCCTAAATAAAAAAGAGCTTTATCATCTTAACAAATATTCTTCAGAGGTACTGAGGTAGATTCTGTTGTCTTTAGACAGAGCCAGGCTAGCTGTTTCCCCGTTTACAGTCTTCATCTATGTACGCTACTCTAACTGTTTGCTGGCTGTATCCCCCAAACAGAGTGGCATTGAACTTCACACCTAACTCTTAATCAAGACAGTGAATAAGCACATTTGCCAAAATGCTGCACTATTCTTTTCATGCATCGACTTTGCTAGACTTGTTTCAGAAAAGGGAAGTTCTTCATATTGAATATAAAGCTTCTGTGTGATGTGACCAGAGAGGAAAGGATGCTAAAATAAAACGAGAATATACTTTATACACTAGGATCGTAGTCTTGTTGTGACTTTTTGATCGTAGTCTTGTTGTGACTTTTTGATTTTATCAATTAATTTAATAGCTGTCATTGTTGAGTATGCCATCGTGCCTCTTCTCTGTTTTCAATGATTGGAAACAGGCCAACAACTTTGAATCATTATTGACATTTTAATAAGAATTTGGCATTTTCAAACAGAAACTTACCACATGGAGAATCTTATTCTCTGTCTCATACACAGTGCAATCCTGTAAAATGAGAAGAAGACAGAAAGAAGAAGAAACCATGAGATGGAGAAAGCATATATGTGAGCATCCCACAGAAGCTCAAATATCTCCCTCCTCCAAATATAACAACCAGGAAAGAAGAAAATGAGTGAAATGAGACGACCAAGAGGAAGAAAGACTTTTTTTTCAATGGAGAACATCAGCAGTCAGCTATTTAATTTCTAACCACCCACATTATGTATATTACTTGATAATCTAGGCAGACTAAAACATTGGATTGACCAATTCTGGATCTACTCTGCTGCCTGGAGCTCCGTGAGCCTCCGCAGGATTTAGAAACTACATTATTTGAACATGACAGATTGTTATTTAACGATAGCTGATAGTTAATCTATTTCTGGGAAAGCAGCCCACTGAATCAACCAGATGTGCATGGTAGCAGTTAATTCATCTGTTTGATGCATTAATGCGGGGGGTGCTGCCACCTTTGTCTGTCTCGCTGCACCCTGGCAGCCACATGTTCATTTGGCCCATTGTGGACCTACAGTGGCCCCTTTCTCCTACCTCTCCTCTGGCCCCTTGTAAGAGGGGAAGGGTGTTATCTGCTCAGCTTCAGGACTCACTCTGGGCACACATACAAACACACTCTCACACACTCTAAGCAGGCTCTTACAGGGAGGACATGGATGTGGTCCAGGAGCGCAGACATAGTTTCTGTCCAAACAATGAGATTTCTACAGTATCAGAGTGTGTATGCATGCAGCTCCAGTTTTATTCTTTAAAAAGTACATTTGTGTGTGTAAGTGTGGTGAATCTACACGAGGGAGCAAGCCAGAGGGGGAGCAGAAGGAGGACAGGAAATTAAGGGATGAGAGACCCCTAGTTCATTCTCCGTCAGGGGCCCTAAGTTAAGCAGAGGATGAGGTCTAACAGTGACTCAATGAGTGCTTTGCTTAAGGCTGCTACTGAGAGCTATTCGTCCCATCATATCACGCTGCAAACAGCCCGTGGCAGCAGGCATATGTTCGACTCATAATCTAATCTACAGAAAAGAGCTATAGACCAGAACAAGCTGCATCCATATTGATGTCTCTAATCCACACACACTTTAGTTTTGCCCTTTCAATTCAAATAATGACCTTTGACCTTTGTCGATGCGAATACCTGGACACATGATCGGACTGGGTGGATTGTAGTGATGCATTGACATCATTCGTTGAGCAGTGAGCTCCTGCATGTTGTCTGTCGTGTGTCTGTTGTTGTGTTTGTCGTTGGTGTATGGTGTGATGAGGTAAGTTGGTGGTAGCGAACCGTGTTCCGTTACACACATAGATGTGGTATTAATATTCTACAGCCAGAGCTGCCCAATCAATCTGCTTCGTTTTCTTTTCTCTCAGTAACTGAAGTACTTGCTGTCCACTAGATCCTGCAAAAGGAGACCGGTAGTTGAGAGATAAGATGGACATTACTGAGAAGTTTAGCAGGACGTTTCGGTCAATCTGGGACAGAGACGTGCATGTCCTTATGAATATCCGATTGTGGCTATATACCGAGGTTTGTATGTCAGTTGAGTATTACTGTTTAGGTATTTCTGATCTACATTTTATCTTACCAAAATGTGATTTTTAATAAGTGGGTACCGGATACGTATATGAAATAACATAGGAGGTGGAAAATATAAGTCTCAGAATCACACTCTGTGTGTGTTCATCGTGAAGTTTATACATAGTGATACTAGTGTGTAATCAGACCATTGGGTAGGGAGCAAATTGTCTATTTATTTTTTGAGCATTTCTGTTTATAATTTAACTAGTAGCCTTTTGAACTGAGTCTCGCTTTAGTTAAGCTATGTTGGGTATTATGGTTACTTTTCTATATCCTCTATGAGTGTTATTTACTTTCTTGTTGTGTGTTTTGGTGCTCTGTCGTATTTTTCTTTACTCAACAGCTGTGACATTTTTTGATTAAAGTGTCGTGTGCGATAAAAAAGACAACTGCTGGCGTGACACAGTTACGGTCGAGACACATGTCAAGCACGATAACTATCTGTACAATCTGCTCTCTTTCAGAAGTCACCACTGGGAGCTGTAGATCGTGATGAAGAAGGTTATGAAAGCGCAGTATCTAAACGTATGTTTAGGAGAGGGTGGCCTTTAATTAGTCATGGCCAGAAGGCTGTGCAACCCAGGGATCCGTACTACTAATGCTCTCAACATCGCTTTACATGAATGTCTTCTCAGTTTCATATCGCATCCGCTGATCTAATTTCCACGACATATAATACCGAACAAAACATCCTTCCTTACCAATTTACGTTACTGGTATGAGGGTTAGACAACAATACAAGAACACCTGATAAAATAATGCAAGCCACCTCAATACAAAATTACTTATGTATGTTTCATTATAATTATTAATATAAAATATATATATAATTATTTAATATAATAATGTCAGAGGAAGATTGTAAGGTGTTATTGTTTTGTCCACTGCCTGGTGGTGGGTTAGGTAACCCTAACCCTAACCCAGATAGACCATCAGATAAAGTGTATTCATGCTATAGTAATAGTAATAACCAGTATAGCCCCACATTAGCATATAATTTCTATATTTAGATTTTTGTGATCATCCTTACTTGATAAAAATTGAGGACAATGTCTTAAAAATTAAAGTTCAAATCCCTAAATTTCTTTCACAGCCCCAGATGTGGTCCATACCTGTCAAGCCAGGCTAGCAGGTTCTTAGCTGCACCAATCAGATCCACAACGGAAGTGAGGAAATCATTGGGTAGCCTCCTGGAAGCTCGTCCATCGTAGTGTCCGCCCCTCCGCCGGCCCAAGATGAAGTTCTGTAGGTTCTTCGCCGAAGCATTCAGCTTGTGGGACAGAGTCCGAAGGTTCTCTGTCTCTAGACCATAGTTCTGGAGGACAAACAGAAGGATTTATTTTAGAAGTAGAGTCATTATATTTGTCAGAGGGTCTAAAGGCGTGCCTACACACAGGTTTCCGACATTCAGTATGTGCCTGAAAACATCTCATGTAGAGGACTGAAACTGCTGCTGCTCTGCTAACATGTTGCTTTTGCTATGCAGGCTATGTAGACAGTGAGTCAGACATAAATGGTTTGAATTTAATTGTGGATATTATTTACCATTTTGGAATAGGAATAACAACCACTCTCATATCTGTACGTTAAGAACAGGGTGTGGTTAGCTTAGCCTAAAGACTGGAAGCTGGGAGAAACATCGACCTATGATACACAAAAAGAAATGAACAATTACAATCTTGTGGTACGATCAGTTGGCAAGACTCCAGGAAGTCATTGCACCCTGCTTTTGTTTTTTCAGAAATAGATAAATCACATAACTCCTCAAATCCCTGTCATTTTGAATTTTTTTAATGTGGAGGGATTAAATATGCAAGACATAAGGTGTAATTAGTGAGTTTAGAGATGCTAGTAGGCACATATTTTAACTTTGGAGATAGCTAGGCTTGCTGTCTCCCTCTGCTTCCAGTCTTTGTGCTAAGCTAGGCTAAGCGCACCATGCCTCTAGCGCCATACTCAGTGCAAAGACATGAGATAGATATCGCTCTTTTCAACTCATTCTTGGAAAGAAAGTGATTAAGCGCATTTCCCAAAATGCTGAACTACAGGTTTATAAAATCACTGCAATATATTTTGGAATTCATACAACATAACTCATACATATGTATTTTATGGAAATAAGGTTGATATTTCCACATGGTCTATAGGTTGCATAGAAAAATGACTACTGTGATTTAACCATAAATTGTTATATTAATTAGAATTACTATCTCTGAATAATCATCAGCATTTTCATAAAACAGCCACTCTATAGACTAATACAAGAACACCAAGCTGGTTGAGTAGCCCGTGCACTGTGACCCTTTTAAACAAACACACACACACACACACACACAGACAAACACACACACAGACAGACCCACTGAGCCACATTGCTCAGCGTCCCAAGGCACCTCCAGTCATGTCCTGCCTGACAGAGCCTGATTCCTGCTGACACAAAGGCTACACACACACACACACACACACACACATCCTTGTATAGTCAGATGCACAGGCTTAGCTAGACATATCTATTCCTCCACTGCCTCTAGATCTATTCTACACAGTCACGACCACAGTGACTACAAAGGAGAGAGGGTTTCACAGTGGCAGCGGAGAGAAAGAGAGAGTGAGAGAGAGAGATAGAGAGAGAGAAAGAGAGAGAATTGAGGAACTAAAGAGGCAGAAGACAAGAGGGAGAGAGAAAGTGAGAGAGCACCCAGCTATGCATCTCACTGAAACTGGGTCATGCATACTGTGTTCTGTGTAATCTTCTGTATTCTGTATGTAGAAGTACACCTGAACTTGGAGCGTACATGTTTGCACAGCTGTAATTAGCCTGTCCTATGATTCGATCTAAAGCTGTGTGTGGTTCTCTCCGGGGGACAGAGTGCTAAGATGAAGCAGGGAATAATGCCCTGTGTCATCTGTTTGAACGACTGTGTGTGTGTGCGTGTGTGTGTGTGTGGAGATAGAGAGACATAATTTGAGCAGTGCGTGCATATGTGTGCCTGTGTGTGTTAAATCAATACAGTAAGAGGGCGATGCCATTAGAGCAACCACCCCTCCACCTTCATGTCGATGTGGTTGCCATAGCAGCAGTGTGTGGAGTGGCCTCTCCTCCATGCTGATATTTCTACCGTCGTTCACAGAATTACGCTCAAACATCGTTTATGAAATGTTGGGGGGTAAATGAGGGTGTTCATCATTTAATACTTTTTAAAAGAAAAGTCTTCCTCCGCCACACGTTTACTCGTTAACGTAAGCGTTTGCAGACCTTGCACCAAAATGTGGAGTGTCTAACCACTCTGAATGTCAGCTTCACTGGGTTCACTGCTCAACAGAGGTAGATGAGCGTTTTATAACGAGCAAATTTTAAATCTTTACTGCATGTTTTTTTTTTTATTAACTAAAACAAGTCCAGCTACAATTTTCTACTATTGGGCACTGGATTCAAAATGAGACCAGTCTTTTTTTTTTTGATTGTCCTATAACAAGGGTTGTTTTCAGCTGCTTAAAAACAAAATAGAAATTATAAAGCTGTACATGGTTTGATTTGTTTGTAATTACCTTTTTTATGGGGCTAGGTTTTAACTCAGACAGTGGTTACCCTTCATCAATCAACAACTAGAAGAAAAAAAACTATTAAAAGAAGCTGTAACAAAAAAAAATATAAAAGAAAGAACAGTAAGACTAAAATCACTTGTATAAAACAAACAGATGCACACACCTGCAGGTAAAAGGGAAAGGATGAGTACGGTGAGTTAGTGGATTTACATTCAACATTGATTTAAGCTTTCCTATATGATACTTCTGAGGACTCCTGTCTAATTAGCTCAAATGTTCAAATGAAGATAAAAAGGACTAGACATATAAATTATGGCCAGCTATGCAACACCATTCACATAACCAACAGGATTTTAAAATCAAGTTGGAGTCACACAGGGTAACACTGAAAAGGAACCAACATAGAAACCTGACTCATCTGCGTGAAAGAGTTACAAGAGGAGATGACGGCATGAATCACTTTCTCAGAACAAAAGCAGAACAAAATTGGGATATAATTCCAAACATAAAACAGCTAACTAATTATTATTATTATTATGCCAAGACTATGCCAAGATATTTTAAGTTTCAGAGTTGCTATGTTTTAGGCTGTTTGTAAGATGTTCTGGTATAGAGGCAGAACATCTTGTCTGTTTGCATGCATTTTTCTTTCAGGTGTTTTGATTTCCTCCTCCAAAGGTATGAAAGTCAGATTGATTACAAACTCTAAATCTCAGATAGACGATTGCAGACTGTTGAGCCCTTACAGGGAGTATTTTGTTCATAAGAGAATGATGCCTTTCCTGTGGCACTGAAAAAGAAAAGGAAGGTATATCAAATTGATTGTTAAATCACACTGTCAGACTTCTGAGGGAAAAAAAGCTATGTTTAGTATGATACATCATATAAAAGAGAAGTGGTCCTAAAATAGAACCTTTGGGGACACCTCAAGGACTGCTTGAATGTGAAAAAAGCTGATCTCAACCTCATCATCGGACCCAGAGGGCGCAGAATAAAGTTCCAATTTGTGTGATATATTTTACACAAAAAGATAACCAAGACTCAGTCAGGTGAAAGTTGGACTCCAAGGTTGGGTTACAAGATCAGGGTTCGAGTTACGTGGGAGCCAGTGGGAGCTGAGCCACCATAAGAAGGGGACTGAGCTCCCATGAAAGCAGTTAAATCATAAATCTGTGCTAATACATTACCACCACCATTATTTAAAGGACAAATAATGTATTTTTTAATGTAATGATTATTGCTAAGTTACGTTAACTACTACTCTCTTAGATTCTGCTTACTTTATATTAGACTTACAACTCGTAACATGAGGCAGCTTACATAGCACACCTACATTCATATGATACCTAAAAGGGCAGAATTCTCTCTCTCATGAAAAGCGCCCCCATTAGGCATTTATTTACTTATCCCTGCCCCAAAGGTAGTTTTTTTAGAGAACCCAAAGCTCAGATTATAACTCAAATCCTGTACAAGATACAAATAGATCTGTGTTTGTCCAAACTACTACAAGTTTTAAAAGTCTAATAGACGTTAGCTGAGTAGATTTTCTTATCCCTTGGTTATATAAATACTAGCTGTACACAGTATCTTAGCTGCCAAGTTAGCTGCGGGAAATTGTCACATACTTATATTAATTATAGCAGTAATCAACAAATCTGTGCTAAAATGTGGCCTGGTTGCAATATTTGCAGCCCTCTGCTGTATTTTAAGTTAATTCAGATTTTTATAAATTTGTTCTGTCCTTATACTTTTTATGTAACTTCAATTGATTGACACCTATGTAATTTTTGTATGTCTTACAGTTCAGATTTTGGGGATGAGCAGTCACTTCATTCTTAAGTTATGCTCATTTCCCAGCACATCTTGCTGAAAATTCACTGCACCCACAGAAACCTACTTAGCATAGATGCTAGGGGCAAAAACTCGATTGCATAGACATAAAAGAAGGGACTTTTCCACATTTACAGCGAGACTGAAAGCTCAGTCAGTGCTTGAAACTTGCATTGATCCAGGGCCACAGAAGTGCCCCTTTTTTACTGCAGAAAGACCAGAAAGTCATAACAGTTGAGCCAGGGGAACAGGGTTTTGCTTTCCCTATGATGGATTATATTGCTGACGACAGTGAATCCTCCTTTATTATCCAAATATTCACAGTGTCTACAGGTACTATAGCGCTGTGTCCCTTTGTTACTTGAGAGTACAGTTAATGAGAGGTAGGAGGTCAGTTGAGATTTGCTTTCCCGAGGCTACCTTAAAGGATAATTCTGTTTTATTATAACTTGGGCCTTACTTCTGTAGTTTTGGCCTTCATTTCTATTGATTCTGAAAACATTTTACTCAGTAAAATAATTGCTGAGATCTCAGAACACTGCACCTTCGCTACAACAAAGTCCAACGGGGCAAGAAATGAGCAGTGGCATGATCAGGCAAGTTGTAAACCAGCCAACAGTTTAGCCAAATAATCAGTGAGTTTACCCAAAATGTCTACAACAAGCCTCTTTGCACAAGAAAGCAGTTTGTGCACACACTGATAGCAAGTTTGGTTTAGGTCAAAGTTAAACCCTGAAGTCCATCTGTGAACTGCCTCTGAAGATTGATGACAGTTTTGGTAATATTTTACTGTTAACCTTGTGACTTTGTTTAAAACCTGCTGATTGTCTGACTGATTGTGTTTCTTTCTCAAATGCTGATGTGTTTCCAGATTCCAGTAATTAACTTGGTGAGTATACAGTCTTATCATATCTAATAGGAATGACAGTTCTACAAAAAGTAAGACTTTATAAGAAGTTGTAACAAGCTAGAATTATACTTTAAAACTACACACAGTAGTTCTAGTGATACAGCTTGTCTATCTGGCGTCCCTATATGTGTGTTTGGTGTGTTTGTGTGTGTGTGTATGGTGTGTGTCCAGTTCCAGGACATATGGTGATTGCTGCTCTGGGACACTCATTCCCATGCTGGAACGTTTGAATGAGAAGAGGTGCTGATTAGCACACACAAGCATGTGCGCATACACACACTCTCACACACATTCAAACAGCTCCAACTAATCCAGCCATGTGTGCCTGGGAGATAAGGTGCATCCTGCATACTCTCTCTACATACTCTCTCTACATACTCCCTCTCTTACTCTTCTTCTCTCTTTCCCTCTCACTCTCCCTTCCTCACTCGCTCTTTCTCTCTCTGGGAGAGTAGCACCTAATTCCCCCTAATTCCCTAATCCTGAGCAGGGCCACTGCACATACAGTCAGCAGTGACCGAGGCAGTACACACAAAGCAGGGCCCAAATGACAGAGGATTTTTCTAGCCATTTCTTAAGCCAATATCAATAACTGGTGGGGGGAAATAAACAACAAGCAATATATAAATCTTTCTACCTGTGAGAATTTCTTTAGCAGTTATGTGAAAGAAAAGTATACTTACTCAACTTTGGTCTTAAAGTATAGCATATGTATATACAGTATATATATATATATACATATATATACATATATAGGGTAGTAATGTGGTTGGAAATTTTACACTAATTTCAATATGACCAACAATGACACACTGAAACTCACAAAAACACACACATCCAGGATCTGCATCACTCTTTCCAAATTATTTACAGATTGAGAGAAATAACAAAAAGAATAAGAAATAGTAAGTAACAGAGGCAGACTGACCAGGGCACAGAGAAGGTCGACAGCTTCCAGGATGAGCTCCTGATGTCCTATCCTGGTGACGCCCAGCTCCTCCAGTTCCTGATGGGTGATGTGCAGCAGCTGCTCTCCCCCCATTTGCTCCCGCTCGAAACTCTTCACGTACTGCTGGAGACAGTCATCCAGACCTAAGGAGACCATAGGCAGACGCAGGTTAGCCAGTGCTGATGTCTACTTTCACTGTGTAAGGGATCTGATAGTCAGCCTTAGCCGAAAAAGACAAAATGTTTGGTATTTTGACGAGCTTTCTGCTCCTCCAGAAACAAAGAGGAAACAAATATGTAGGAAATATTGATCTTTGGCTGATAGAATTACAAATTTAAGTTCATGTCTGTCACACTGTACACTGAATGCTGGTCCACTTAGTTGCAGCACAGAATTCAGGCTTCAGAGTGCAGACACCACACAGAAACACACTGCAAATGTGTGTTCTATTCTGCCAAAGAGAAACAAAAGCTAAAACCAGCCTAAAGCCAGAAATTTCATCAATGCTTTTTTGGCAACTCACTAACTGTCACCTAGAAATCACATCTGTTTGCTTGGCTTTCCAATATCTGACGATGATTGTACATCATGCTGTAATAAGATTTCCTTTGATGTCACTGCTTTTAACGTAAAAAAGAATCAGAGCAGTGCATTTCTGAATTTCATGCACATTCTGAGTGATTAAGAGTGTGTCCAAAATATACCTAGAAAGATGTGACCAACATATTGACGTATGACTTTCCGCTGTTAAGCTGTGGCTGCCTGCCATGCAGAGAGCCAATCAGCTGCACATAGACGTGGTGGGTCCAGGATACTATTGATCAGTACGAGCCTCAGGCTTTGAACCAAACAAAGTCAGCAGAAAGCACACCTCCCCACAGACCTAATGAATAAGCCTGTTTCAAAATGAGCACACACACAGAGCAAAAACGCATGAGAGGAAGCAAATCCATGCACACGTACACACACATGGAACCACAGAGAAACACAAAAAAGTGTACTCTGTGTCTCACAATCACACATACAATACAATTACAACTGCTGTTGATATTCAGGGTCTCGACGCCTCTGTGGAGGCATGTTGTTAAAGCCAAGTGGAGCTGTGAGGAAAACACTGATGCCCAAGGGAAGCAATGCTGACAGAGAGCAGACAGTGTGGTAGCACCTTAACACAGTCACCACACACACACTCTCTGCAAAGAACGAGCAAGAGGCATCTTGCTCTTGGTATGCCATGGGACATAACAGACCAAATATAAGCCTATTGTTGCTCAGAGTGACATGAACCAACAATCTTGTTACATACAGCACAGAAGAGCAATTTTAAACCTAACACATCAGTAAGAGGCCCTGCTCTGTAGTACCACAAGTGGAAATTGTTTAATGGAATACATTCCCTATGGACAAACACTCATATCGCATATGTTAGAATGTGTTTCACATGTGAGGATTCAATGTTATCTAATGCAAGACTGTTGTGACATCAAGTTTGTACATGATGTATGGAAATGGGAATGTGAGTACGACCATGTGATAATGTGTTTCTCATGTGGACAATTTGGTATCAGGTGAAACTACTTTAAAACACCTAAGCAGTTAGATAAAAAATAAAACTACTTTAATATTAAGTATTGCACTTTTTAACTCCACTACATCAACAGATATAGTTACTTGTTACTTGGGAAATTACAATTTTACAAACAGTATAAAACATTTTATGAGCTTTAAGAATATAATGCATGCTTATAGATTCAAGTATGCAACAATAGTATATAAAATACTTTAAATTATCTCCACCTTGACCAACTCCTACTTACACATTAATGCATCAGTAATACTAATCCAATATAATAATATTACTTCATAATAGTACCCCAACTTTCTCAGTTGCCTATAAAAGCCTGTGGACTGATTTCTATGTAAAGTACTCGGAACTGTTTTGCTGGGACAATCCAAAGGATGTGACGTTTACATGTGCTCCCAAGTGCCTTGCCTTTCTTCAGCTTCTGTAGGGCAACAATGTGCAACTAATGTTGGCTTAGAAATGGAGCCCGCTAACGCCAATACACACACCCACCAAAACAGTCCACGCAAGAACAACAAAACAAAGTTTTATCTTGTGAAGCCTGTCTGTGCCTATTGTTGGTCCACAGCCACTTCCATATGATGTAAGCCTGGACAGTATATGACGAGAAACATCAGTTTTAGCCGTGGTCAATCCAGTTCTACACCCACTGTTTTACATTTACGCATGTTTGAAAAACTTCCCAATCCACACTCCATTGCAGTGGGTGGTGGGAATGCATAACGTTGTTTGCCAACCACCTACATCGAGAAGAAGAAGTTTGAAAGATAAATGAAAATAGCTGTACAGCCAGTGATATGTTTGTACCCAGGATGGCAAAGTCATGAGCCACCCTATTCTGCCTCTGATTGGCTTACCCTAACCCTAACCAATCTCACTCCTCATGCCTAAATCCAACCAACCAAACCAATGAAGCCCACTCGTAGTACCCAATCAGAAGACGAGTAGGGCAGGTCATGACTCCGCCACCCTGGGAAAAAAAATACAGCAAACGCTACAATCTGTGTAAAATAAGATTACTATTATTAGAAGTTATTTTGAAATGCTGTGCTCTAAAAAAAGGGTTATTTTGAAACAGTGTCTCTGTCCTGGTTATTTTAAAGGCTGGACCTTCACTGGTAATAGATTATTTTTTACCTTGCTACTTTTATGTATTGTTCTGGATATTTTTAGTTTTTAGATTCATATTGGTTTTTAGGTGGAGCTAGTTTTATAGTTAAAGGTCCAGTGTGTAGGATTTTATGGCATCTAGTGGTGAGAGTTCAGACTGCAACCAAGTGAATACCACTCGCCTCACTGTCCTCTTCCAAGTGTCCAAAAGTTCCCAAGAAATGAGAAAGGCCCTATCTAGAGTTGTCTAGTTTGTCCGTTATAAGCATGGTGGTTCAAAATGGTGCTCCCTTTGTAGAGAGGGCTCATTCCAAAGTAAATAAAACATTCTTATTTTCAGGTGATTGTACATTAATGAAAACACCCTTATGAATATTATACTCCATTTCT